AAAAAAAAAGAGCTGAGGTTAAGGAACGATTTTCGAGCCGTTCATCGCGATCCGCAAACCATGACGATCTTTAAGAGGTTTTGATTTAACGCTTCTTTCGCACGGATACAATCGACTACCACCGCGTGGTCATCCCGATTTCTGCGCCATTCCCATTAGGTCCACGTCGTGTCCGCGAATAATTACGCGGCCGCGTATCTATCTAGACAAATAAGGACAAAACGTTTTAAAGATCGTGTACAGCGATCGAGAACGTTATCGCAGCGTAAAGACACCGTGTCGCTATTAACGCGTTAAATATCGTACTGGACGGAAGTTCAGAGCGTTCGCAAGTTGAAAACGCTATAACGGCAAATTAGAGAGTAGCTTGTCGGGTGGGACTTTTCTCGGGTGAAAACTGGCTTTAAATAGAGACGACTCTCTGTTTAGCATCGGTGATTGCAATTTAGTGTCAATCAGTGGAAGAGCACGCTCTGGAACAACAGCTATTAGTTGCTGATCAAATGTAGGAAATGGAATCGTGTCTGGATGATTCCACGGATCATTAAATGTGATGCGTGTCGTGTACATATTCAATATCCTCTCGGCGATACTCGGCGTGTCTTTTGCTTCCAGAAATTAGTTTTCACCGAGGATATTTATCAATCGAAACGAGATGACAGGTGGTGTTTGCTGGCAATCTATTCGAGCAGAGATTAGTTTACACTTAGCAAACTAAACGAAAAACTGAAAGAGAATTTATCAATCGTGACAACGTGGACGAGAGAAGATAATAGATAGGATTTCGATTCGGCCCGTGAATAATAATGCCTTTGAAAATTGGATAATGCTCGCGCTGGTTGCAGGCTAATCATAGTCACACTATACATAGTCGCTTATCCAGGACTCTAATACAAGTAGCAAGCAAGAAACTGTACAGCAGAAAGAAAGTAATCACGAAGAGCGGGTTTCCTCACACGGTTCGCGGTGAGCCTCTAATCGAACTCGTTCCAATCTCGCAGTTTCACGGCTGAGTTTCAACTTAGTGTATTTTCCGCCGGGAACCGGTGGTAAAAACCGTAGCTGTATTTGAGAAATTTATCGCACGTGCTGTTCGCGGTGGGTAGCCGAGGTGAGAAAAGAGGGATCGTAAAGAGCGGCGGGAATAAGTGGAAAAAGACGGAGCAAGTAGTCCGAAGCACGTAGCGTGACCCAAACCCCGTGACAAATTCATCGTGTCACGCTGTCTCACGTGTTCCGGGGATCGTGGACCACCGATCGCGCCGGGACGATAGAACGCAACGCAATCGTGACTCTCGTCGTTGATATAATTTCAAAGTGGAAGAAACCTGACCATTAACGCGCCATTAACGGCTCTGATCATGCGTGACTCCTTCCACAGATTTTAAATACGAACCATGTAGCTCATTCTTTAAAACGATCCCTCACGTCTGATTTGCAATTAACCTTTTTCAGTTATTCTCTTTTTTCTTTCTACCTTTTTCTTTTTTCTTTTTCTTTTTGCAATTCTTCAATTATCTCTTTAACGTTCAAATTCTTCTCGATACTCTCGATGCATTGGCACGATACAAGAGATATAATTTCTCATTTCACATCGGAACGAGTAATCTTGCTCTTAGAGTCTATTTATCGAGATTTCTTCCGACATGGATCCCAACGATACTATCCTGAAATTTGTTTCTCCTTCATTCAGATTTCTCTAAATGTGGCGGATTCCCTCGTTAATCACCCGACCATTCCCTGAATGGTCCTCCAGAACCGTTGCACGCGCGAGCAGACCGTCCTACCGGCTTTATCTGGCTTCGATATCATCGGACGCGTCACCCATCCATCAGTCAATCTCTCATCGGATCTGCGAGTCCCATAGATGGCAGTCCCGGACGCGTTGACCCGCTTCCAAATTCCAGATTCGTCTTCGACTCTCCGTCAGGCGATTCTGAAACGGGTGTTGCTATTCTGGCAGCAATCGGGCCACGAATTTGAGCGAACTGGAACGTGGTCGTTCGTGGCGAAGCGAATACCGACGGCAGGGATATGCAGGCATCGATATATCATGGGGGCACAGCGGGTGTCGTTAGATACCATCTTCGTTAACATCCTCGAATAGGTGCGTGCGTAGCTCACTCGAACGAGCCAGCCTCGTCATTATATCCCTATCTGCTTATCGGTCCAATATTCACGAAACTGAGCTCGAGCTTTCGAAACTACGCAGGAATTATCTGGCCTCTCGTTAGCAGATCGTTCAGTGTTCCTCGGTGGTAATGGGGTTAACGAGAAGCTCGCGTCTGTTCACGAGGGAACGCGTTACGAAATAACGGCGATCGCTACTAAATTCTGACGTACGTTCGAGGATGAGGAGATAAAAGGGAAGCGTTTCCTTGAAGGGTGAAGGTAAGAAGATATATTTCGGTATCTGGAAGAATGTTAGGAATGAATTTGATGAAACGATTAGATGGAAATGTGAGCGGGGTGTAGGTTATTGTGAACAAAATTTTACGACGATACACGACGTATCTTGTCTCCCCTTATCTCCTCCATTTCGAAAGAATAGTTACGTGAGTTAAGTACTAGTCTTTCACGTAAAATGTCAGAACGTCGCGAAGATACGTTTCCTAGTTTCATGAAGACTGCTCCCGTTGTTATCTTACTTCCTGCTAAGTTGCCCACCATTTAGATCCAACACGGTTTTTATTAAACCTTGGGAATTAATCGCGAAGAAAGCACGCGAGTCTGAA